TCCTTCCTTCCTTCCTTCCTTCCTTCCTTCCTTCCTTCCTTCCTTCCTTCCTTCCACTTACATGGCCACCCATCTTGTGTAGCCCAAGCTCCCTGTAAAACCAAAACCTAGCAGTTCAACCGCACTCTCCAGTGCATCCAGCAATACAATCCCTAGTCTCTAACTTCACCATATCCCAATGCTTGGGGGAGAACCAGCTCTTAATGGCTTTCCAGAAAGCTAAAAGGGTGAGGGTGTGCCAGATCTCAGGGGGAAGAGTATTCCCCAGGACAGGGGCCACTACAGAAAAGGCCTGCTTCCTAGGTCCCACTAGATGGCAACTGGAGTGGGCAGCTATATTAAATCTACATAATAACAACCACAACATTTGAAGGGAAGAGCCTTCCCTGTATGACAGCTATTCACATTGGAGGAACCAATGTGGATTTTGTTCTTTTGAGCTGTGGGTGATGGGAAAGTGGAGTTACAGTACTTCTGAAGGCCACCAAGTCACAGGAGGCTGATCTAGATAAATATCCCTCTTGACTCAAACAATTATATTATAGGTAGTATTCCATTCTGTTGGAAAAGAGCACAGGCTAAGCTACAGCAACTGTTTTATGGTTCTTGAAGGACATTAAAAGGATTAACTTCTTTGCCAACTCTTCTCACTTGAGCACTTGGCATCACGATGGGTTAGTCTGCTCTCTCTGTTGCGTATATCCATTTATCCTCTGCAAAAGAGTCCACAATCCATCATCCAGCTGCAAAGAAATTCTTTTGAGTTTGGAGTGTACATATTCCATCAGCCCCAAGCAAGGAAGAACCCCATTTAAAACCAGAAAGACCTCACCTTCCTCTTGTTCAGGTTTGGTGTAGTTATTGTTGAATCAAGATAGCCTTTAAAATAAAAAGCAAGATGTACAAAGCACTTTATAGTCTTTATCTTATTTGCCCTCACAACATCCCTGTGAGGTAGGTTGCCACTCCTTGAGAACAGCCTGAAAGAGTTGCCCCACATTCACCCAGGGAGTCTGTGGCTAAGGCAGGATTTGAAGCCAAATCCAAGCTTCACTTTCCAAGTGGCAGACCCCGCTGCCTTTCTTCCAAGGCTTCTGACATAGCTTCCAAGAGCAAGGCCGCACTCTATATTGGTAACTGAGAAACATCTTCAT